GGGGGCAGAGCTAGTATCTGGTAAGATAAGACTGACTTTGGCAAATGACATACTTTCTAAGAAACGAGAGGGTGGGTGGGCGGGGCTAGTAGCTGGTAAGATAAGACTAATTGTGGCTAATGAGATATCCGCTAAGAAAAGAGAGGGTGGGTGGGCGGGGATAGCACCTGCTAAGATAAAAGTGATTTTGGCAAATGAGATAGCCGATAAGGAAAGAAAGGGTGGGTAGAGCTATTACTTGTTAACACTGATTTTGGCAAATGACATATTTTCTAAGAAAAGAGAGGGTGGGTGGGCGGGGATAGCACCTGCTAAGATAAAAGTGATTTTGCCAAGTGAAATACCCTCTAAGAAAAGAGAGCGCCGGTGGGCAGAGCTAGTATCTGGTAAGATAAGACTGACTTTGGCAAATGACATACTTTCTAAGAAACGAGAGGGTGGGTGGGCGGGGCTAGTAGCTGGTAAGATAAGACTAATTGTGGCTAATGAGATATCCGCTAAGAAAAGAGAGGGTGGGTAGGCCTAGTACCTGTTAAGACTGATTTTGGTAAATGACATATTTTCTAAGAAAAGAGAGGGTGGGTGGGCGGGGCTAGCACCTGCTAAGATAAAAGTGATTTTGCCAAATGAAATACCCTCTAAAAAAAGAGAGGGCCGGTGGGCGGGGCTAGTAGCTGCTAAGATAAGACTGATTTTAGCAAATGACCTCTAAGAAATGTCATTAAATTATTATAAGATAAGACACAAGAGGCTCCAAAGAATTCTTTCCAAACAGAACCTAGAACCTCAACATTTTTTTAAATTTTTCAAAAAAAACGGAGTCCCAAAATTAACACAAAAACAGGTCAGGTAAGAATTTTTTAAAAATAGAACACCGAAGTCCTCCAAAATTATTTTAAATAATTTTGAAAAAAATCTCCCAACAGTCTCCCGAGTTAAAAGAACACTGCGGCATTCGAGACTTTTAAATTCGTAAAAAATAAAGCACTAAAAACTCATAAGATTTTTTCCAGTTCATCTAGCAACAAAACATTTCTTTAAATTTATCGGAAAATAAAACACCAGGGGACCTAAAATTAACTGCGAACATTTTAAACCTATGGTTTTGAAAACTTTGACAATTTTTGATACGTCAAACATTTTTAATTGCTTACTCGATTTTTGCTGATTTGTACTTTCGCTTTATATGAGGCAAACATTGTTGTCAAATTGAGTTTTATCAAATTATTACAAAAAAAAAAACACAACCATACTTTTATACGTTCTAACTGAATAGTAATTAAACATGATCATGTGCGACAGAAATATTAACTAAAAGTTTTATTACTAGTTATTGTGATAATGAATGTGTTGTTTAGTGGTTGAACATAGGAAAGGAACCAATTTTAAAATTATTATAGCTAGCGCCATAGTGAAAACCAGTGGTGTAAATGATAAATTCAAAGTAAATAACCAATGGAAAAGAGTGTATTATTATCAGTATACATGCTTAACTTCGATTGCTTCTGTTTATACATCGAAATAATGTCACGTAGAAATTTGTTTAATTTGAATGAGTTGTCTCATCAAAACTGAGGACTAAAATTATTAAATTAACCATAATAGAACAAAATATTTTGAATATGATTATTATTGTTCTTATTTCATCATAATTAAATAAAGACGTAGGTATCCTCAAATTTTCTAGAAAATGTCGAAAGTATAATTCGGCAAATCCAGCTCTTTAGAAAAATATAAAATTTAATTTTATTATTTTCGTTTTGTGATAACTGCTGTAAAGTAAAAACCAGCGGCATAAATAACAGGCCTGCAGCCCCTGCGCGATATGGACAATCTAAAATATATTTAAAACACATAACTAACGGGATAAAATGTCCTTCAGCATTATGTAATAGCAATCTGAAGCTCAAGCGTTTGTTCATGTTTATACATCGAAAGAATGTCACGTAGAAATTAGTTTGATTTGAATAAGTTTGGCTTCTCAAAATAGAGGACTATAATTATTATTAATTAAACCAATCGAGCAAAATGTTATGAATATTATAATTCTTATTTTATCAATAGTACATGAAGACGTGCGTATTCTTCATATGTTCGAGAAAATGGGGTGACTTGTTTTTAATTTGACCCCAGGTCGCATTCTACCCGATATAGCCACTGCGCCACGGAGACTCATACCCCGTGCTGGTAATGTAACATTATTATACCTTGCAAATCTTTTTGCAAAAATTTTAACGTTTAGCGAAAAAACTGAAAGCGGATACGTACACTACAAGTATACCAAGATCACTTTAAATACATACTAATAATATTTTACAACTGGGGTCAAAAAGCCCAAGCCGCAAAACTCTAAAACCATAAATTATAGAGATACGACTGCCAGAGACCGTCTGCTTGGGGCAACACAAGACGGTACTTTTAACGAAAGGAAATTCTGTAGGCACGCGATATGGCTTACAAGTTTACAAGTATCCTACTGCGAGAAGCCGACTCCCCATTGTCAAGCAAATAATCCTCATTATGTCATAAAATTTTATTAGTATACATTTAAAGTGATCTTAACAATATAGGAGTATATTTTTGTATAATATTTCAATAATTTTAAAACATAGTTCCATTGCAATGACGTCATCAAATTATTGGTGGGGATGATTAGCAAAACTTTGGTTAGCATTTAACCATCTACGAGATATTTCTAACATACATACAAAATTTGACAACAATCGGTCTAGCAGTTTCGGAGAATACGTGTCTAATAAAAATGGATACAGACACCAGACAGACAGACGGAAACTGGAGACTAGTTTTTTCGTACTGTAGGGGTCATGAAACGCCGAGAAAATATAAAAGTGACCAATTACTATACGAATTTATGACGATTATGAGTGCTTATTTCGGATGAAAGAATATTTATAAAGACACTTGGATTGTTCCGGGGACCAAAGAAAGAAACCAAATATATCATATCTTAATTGAATTGCGATATAAAGGAATACTAAAAAGCGTAAAATGTTATAGCGAAGCGGGCATAAACTTGGACATTTTTTTAGTTACAGTCAGTATTAGACAAATAGAAATAAAAAGAAAACAACGAAAACATACAATATTGGACAATTACAAAAACAAGAAGTAGGCAATAAATACAGAACTGATATTTGAAGGACTAAAAATTCAATATGAAAAAAGAAAGGAATGCATGAAAGAAATCAAAAACGGGCAAAATTAAATAACATACATGCAAACATGGAAGGAACAAGGTTGTGCATAAGGAAAGAAGACAGCATAAACACAAGGCAGCTCGAGAAAACACGAGATTAAGAATTTATATAAAGATATAAAGGAAATAAAAAGAGGATACCAATCAAAAGGTATTTATGTCAAAGATAAAGAAGATAAACTTGTTGGAAGCAAACAAGAACAAAGACAGGGGTGGAAAGATCACTTCCAGGTTCTAATAAACGAAGAGGCTGTTAAGAGCAGTATAAATGAGAAAGATGAAAAGCAGGAAGAAGCAGAAAGTCTAGCTGAGATAGGAGAACCTAAGTACCAAAGAATAAAAGAAATCATTAATAATACGAAATACAATAAAGTTCCAGGGTCAAATAACATCACAGCAGAAAATCTTGTATATGGAGACAAGACACTGACAGAGGATGCTAGAACGTTCACTACTGGTCAAAAGTTCATTTAATTGCTCATACTTCGTATAATCTTTGGTAATATTTTTTAAAATGGTTATTGCTTATTTGTTTCCAAACATTACACCAAAATCCCTAATAATGTAATGTAATTTCAAGTTACTCATTCCACAATTTTGACGCCCCGTTAAGAAAACATCACCTGCTATGAACATTTTATTGAGTCTTTGTGTGGCGTAAAATTGTTATTGAGAAGGTGAGAGCTTTATTAAAGGCAAACAATGGCTTTTAATATGGCATAGTAAATGGAGGGTGGAAGGATGTCGCAGGGGTGTTTCCGTCGACAGAACATTAATTTACAGCTTAACAGCCCTTCGTTCGTTTCTACATTTTAATACTTGCATCACTGTCTTTAATTAATTATTTAGTATTGTTATGACCGGATTAAAGGGTAAATTAGCGGATCTTCGAGGAGCGGGATTAAATGATCGCGTAAAATCCGCTGCTCAGAATGGTTAAATAATTCCTTTCGTTTGCATCAGGGCGAAATAACCATCATGTTTGTTTAATTTAATTAATTTCGGCTATTTTTCTGCAGAATTTTCGTTAATTGAGAATTAATTAACGGAGTAATTAACTTGTCAACCACGAACGAAATTCTCTGCAGTTAACTGCAACAAAATAAACCTTGTCTAAATTAAATTACGAGAGTGAATTCCGCTGAAAACATGTACTCCAAAATGGACCAAGTTGCAGATGTAACGGACGTCCCCGCAAATTAAATGTTTTACGATGAGTTTGCAACAACAGAGTAATTGGAAGATGTATTGTGGGGCTTTTACTGTTATTATTTACGAATAGGTCGAGATTAATTTCGAAAGGAGTGTTCCAAGCGATAATTCTGTCATAAAGGGAAGTCATTTTATTCATTTTTTTAATATAAGAGTGCATCTAATTTTCGGAGAAAAAATGTATAGGATACTCAAGTGTAAAATGCTTTTACGCCACTTGAACTCGTTTCGCACGCGCGCTTTGGACATTTTGTCTATAAAAAAACGAGATACGTTCTTCCAGTAAGCACCCTTGTGTAACAGCTTGTGTCAAAATTATCCTTAAACGATTTCCTTTTAAGCTCTTGAGTACGAAACAATAAAAGAGCACAACAGTCCGTAGCAAAGAACTCACGGATCCATAACCTTCTCTTGCATTATTCACAGTCGAAGTAATGAACACGTTTATGTCATAATCCGGAGTTTAATCTCGAGCAAAGAGAACGGTTTTTCCCTCTTTGAACCATTCTCGTCGTCTTTATTACAAAACATAAACGCCTTAATTAATTGCGTCGTAATTTTTTATTTTCAGGTTGTCCAGGAATATGAGAGGGCTGTAATATTCCGCTTAGGTCGTCTTTTGTCCGGAGGCGCTAAAGGACCAGGTAAGCATTGCGTTCAGTTTCGTTGACTACGTGAAACTTGTCACTTTTTGTTTACATTTTCTTAATAATTCACTACGCAGCGACTTGGCAGTTTGGTACAAAGTTGGAGGAGAGAAACTTGCCTCTTAAATATTTAATCACTCGATTGACATTTTCATGGTCATAAAGCTCGTTTTACGAGTCTGGAGGGGAGGCAAGCCTTTAGATAACGGTTTCGTTTTAATAGGGTAGTAATGTTGGAAGCAGTGTTTTCGGATGCTACTTAGCTCAACAGATAAAATTATTAATATGTGGTCCACACATCCACCAACAACGAGCTTTTTAATAATCAGTCTGACACTGTTGTGCTTTATTGTCATGCAACGTTGTTTACGTCCTTGCAGCTACAGCAATTCATTACACTCACTTATTTACATTAACGTAATTGAAAAACTTCCCCGAGTTAAACTCCTGAACTCACTAATAATATTACAGCAGTGAGTGTGCGATGCAGATTGCCTTTAATTTTTTTTTACATACGATTTAATCGATTGCCCACCTGAATATCCGCCTTGAAAATTCTGTTTGTTTTGTTTCGAACTTGCTCCCATGCATAAAATTGGAGTTAATTTTCTTTAACTCCAGTGTAGCACTCGGCTTTTTAGGGACGAACGCGAGTATCGCAATTTTCTTAACTCAAATAGAACAAGGAAAGTTCGTTATAATTCGATTTATTCCCGAGACGGAAGTTTGTGTGTTTTGGTGACCGTTTAATTGGGTTCCACACCAGTTGTTGAGTCGCGGGGGGATTCTTTAATTATGTCATTAATGCTTCTTTCTGTGTTTGTCTTTTCGTGCGGCTTGAAGTGTTGATAACGCCACTCGGTGAAAATGGGAACCTGATATCGTTAGAAGACAAGATCTTTGTTTTTTTATTTTTGCGCGCTTTAGTGCGAGGTTGAAGGCCTCTTCTGCAATTTTATACACCTCGTTTGGTTAATTGTATTTTTTGTGTCGGAGACTCGAATTCATTTCATATTCAAAAAATGTTGATCTACTTGTATACGTAACAGCAGTCTATTGCTTGTTTATTTTAATGAAAAATACAACTATCGAAGCATTGTGACCAAGACCAAAGGTGACAGTGTTTTTTTCGAAGAAGAATTTCTCGTCCCGAAGGAGAAGTATTTCAAAGTCAGGGGCAAGGTTAATTAAACGAAGGAACGTGAAATGTCGATGTGTGTAAGTGTTTAAAGTCTGCAGGGGCTACATTCCACACAGTTTTCTACTTCAACCTGGGCGTGTTTGTATGCTATCTCAGTTCGACATACGTTGACTTGCAGTTCTTAGTAATGTGACTCTAACGTGTGTGGTATTTAGTGAAATTTTGAAATAGAAATATAACTCTGTCCTTTTTACTTTCCGGTATTTTTTGCTGTCATTATGGCGATTCTATATTCGTGTTATTATGTTATCTCGTACGAGCTTTGTCTAGAACGTGTTCCTCGCTTTCCATTTCCTAACCAGACAATTTGTCGCACTTTTTAAAGGAGAAATAGGTCTATTCATTTTAGTCCTTAAACATGGCCGCCGCCGCTATCGACATAGTTTGACGTGTAGATTGTGGTTCCGGAAATGGCTGCGTGCTAACAGGTTGAGTCGCTGCATCATTCATAATGTATTCTGGATTTAACATTAATAATTTATTTCAGTAACAATTCATCTCTGTTACTGAAAATTGAATATGCTTTGGCTGCTTCGATAGTTTTACTTTGATCATTTAGAATATATAAAACAAAATACGTGGTGTATACTATATATCATATATAGAGAGCGGATTTCTAGGTTTAATGCTTTTTGTGAAAAATGTAAGCACTTTTTTATATCTGTAACTATGATACAATTTGGAGTCATTTGACACATTTTTTTTATGCTTATTTGCTTTTTTTTAATTTTATGCATATTAAAACTTATATGCTTATTTAATGCTTTTTTCGACGAATATGTGTTTTAATGCATATTTTGTTCAAATGCCGGCCTTGTCGGGATGACAAATACTTGTTAGTTAGCCGTATCGTATCCTATGCATTTTACCTGGACTTGACCATTGAAGTACACTTACTTAAGACCCTTTCTGTGAATAGGTTCCGGTCGTTTGTAATAAAATTTTATTATAGGATTGAAAAAATACTCCATAGATTTTATAACTTTAAATCCTTACTTCCGTTGATAATGAATTAAAGCCTTTAACCAGATGTTCTTTTTCGGCATTTTGCGGCAAGACCGTTGAAGATTTTCTAGAAAAAAGGATTATTGTACCCAACTACCTACCTTAAAATTTTTCTAATGGAAACTTTTAAGTAAATGAACCGTTTATTTCACAACCATCAGTCTATCGCATCTATCGTAGTACAGTGTTATACGTGGTTTTCCCTTGTTACATGTTGAGTTCTTTTTGGTAATATTACTAATATTTAAAAAAAATGCCGAAAGTAAAATATTCCACAGAGCTTGTGTGAAAACCGTAAGCCCACTAATTTTTTTTTATCTGTTTTCCTTTGTTAATCCTGTATATGTACGTTGTTTTAGATTCAAAGTGATAAAAAATATAACGTGACGCAACATGTCAGAACGACTCTTCATGTAGAAAGAAAGAAAATGTTTGAAGTTTCTAAAATTAAACAGCAGACCATACATGAATCTGTTGCATCTACTTCCACAAAAGATGAGCAGTTTCAGTTTAATTTCGATTTATGTAAAATGATGATCCAGTCCAATATACCTTTAAAACAATTGGAAAAAGGCCCTCTTCAAGAATTTCTTGAAAAACACTGCAATTGACATATTCCGGTTGAAAGTACTCTCTGAAAAAATTATGTAGGCCCAGTGTTTCAGCAAGTTTACAACGAAATTAAACATCGCATTGGAGATAATTATTTATGGTTCGCTGTCGATGAAACAACCGATAGTTGTGGAAGATACGTGGCAAGTTTAATTGTTGGAATCTTAAAAGAAAATTTCCCTAGTCGAGGGTATGTAGTAAGTTTGAAAATGTTAGATTATAGATCGTTATATGTTAAAAGCAGGGAATAATCTAAAAATATTGTACTCCAATTTAATTCACTCTACTTGCATTGCACACGGTTTAAACAGAGTGGCTGAAGGAATACGTTTACAGTTTCCTACTGTTAATAAATTAGTGGCAAATGGTAAAAAGATTTTTGTTAAAGCCCCACTAAGAGTGCAACATTTTAAGGAAAAATTTCCAAACATACCATTGCCCCCAGAGCCGATTATAACGAGGTGGGGAACATGGTTACAGGCCACATTTTATTATACCAAATATATCAAAGAATTTGAGCAAGTAGTTACGGAGTTTAGCGAAGATTCTTCTCAATCGATTAAAGATTGCATAAATATTTTGGAAAACAAAGATTTGCGACAAGATCTAGCTTTTCTAAGAAGCAATTATCAATTCCTATGTGAGGTAATAGAAAACTTAGAAAAACCCAACATGTTGTTGGTAGATGCCATAAACTTAGTGAAAGAATTTAAACAACAAGCAAACGCTGTAAGGGGTGATATTGGTACTAGAGTATCTCAAAAACTTGACGAAGTGTTAAATAAAAATGCAGGTTTCGGTGTTCTTTCCGACGTTGCTCGTGTTTTACAAGGCCAGAAGGTGGAAAATTTGGAGTTAGATTCAACATTAGTTGCAAAATTCAAATTTGCGCCAACAACGAGTGTGGATGTTGAACGCACATTCTCCAATTTTAAACACATTTTAAATGATCGGCGAAAAAATTTTACAGTGGACAACTTGGAACATATTACAATCATAAATTGTTTTAAAGAAAACTGAAATACGTGTGTAAAATATAAAGTCTAGATAAAAATAATATTTTATCCAAAGTTCTAAGAAGTGTTCTTTGATTTGTAATATGATTATGTTTTTAATGCTTTTTTGCTTAAAAAAAAACTTTTTTAATCTTTACATTATACTGATAAAATAAGAATTATACAATATTATATCATTACTTAATATTTAGAACATTTTGTTCCACTGTGGTTTAATTAATACTTTTAGTCCTGTTTCGAGAAGACAAACTCATTCAAATCAAACTAATTTCTACTTGACATTCTTTCGATGTTTAAATATAAATAAACACTTGAGGTTCAGATTGATATTACCTAGTGCTGAAAGATATTTTATCCCGTTAGTTATGTGCTTTAAATATATTTTACCCTGGTTTTTGACTTTCAGCGGTTACCATAAAAGGAAAATCGTAAAATCAAATTTTACAATTTTTTTTAAAGAGCTGGATTTGTCGGATTATACTTATTGCATTCAGCCAATTTATTTAATCAAATTAAGAACCTCATTTTCTAGAAAATGTGAGACTACCCACGTCTTCATTTAATTATTATTAAATATGAATTATAATAAAAATCATATTCAAAACATTTTGTTCCATTGTGGTTTAATTGATAATTTTCGTCCCGTATTTTGAGGAGACAACTTATTCAATTTAAACAAATTTCTACGAGACATTCTTTCGATGTATAAACATAAATCGAAGTTAAGCATGTACAATTTTTTTTTATAATTCTTCAAAGAAGCGGAATATGTTGGACTGTACTTCAAGAACGAGGGAAGTTCTATCGAAGTAATCGTACACCAGTTTTATACACTGTAATATTGTCTGTTGTATTATTGGTTTGTTATTAGTGTTACATTGAACCTAACGTAATTGATATATTAATATCTACATTAGACGAGCCCTATTTTTATATTCATTTATAGGGGTTATTATCAAACAAAATGAAATCGGGCTACTAGGTAGTTACTTTTATGTCTTCTCGACATTCCACGACTCCTAGACTACAAAAAAATTGGTCCTCCGTTCTCGTCTGTCTGTCGTCTGTGTCGATTTTTATTAAATAGTTAATTTAAACTACCCTACCAAAATTGGTCTAATCGATTTCTCCAACAATTTGAAGATATCACCTCAATTTTTCTTATTTTTTGTAAACACCATTTAAATTTTATAAAATAACATACTCTTGTACTTGTGGTTTATGATTCCGTTTTGATTTCTTTACCCCCCACACCACAATAGCGTGTTTGCGCAAAACATTTTCTTATGCTTACACTTACCCTTATAACGTATGTCTTATAACACTCATAATCGTTATATCTTATATTGACAACAATAGAATTTTTTTACAATGTCAGTCAGTGTCATTTAGAACTCTAATTATGTCGCAACTGGAAAAGAAACTCTTTTTGTATTAACTGATGCACTGAGTAGTTCTGAACATCTTCTATATTATCACAAGTCGCCAAAATTTCTAAATAATTCATATGCAAAATTAATTAATTTACGTGTCAGAAAGTCAGTTCTGCTTGCCAATGTAAGGTCCTAAGCCGTCAGCATAACTGTTACAATTATGCTTATAACTATAATTATAAATTATAAGTGTAAGCATAAGGTAAACTGCATAAGAAACTGTTTTGCTCAAACATGCTAATGTGTCCAAACTGTGTTACAACCTTTTGTAAGTGAGGGTAAATCCAATCAAATTGTATAATTTTTCAAAAAAGGAGGATTTGTTGCATTGTACTTCGTGCGCGAGGAAAGTTCTGTTGAAATAATCTTCGACCGATTTCTTTTTTCTTCCCAAGAGTAAGCTAAGGGAGTATTATAAACGAGTCCATTGGGCCACTGTCTACTTTCACATTTTCTCGTTGTGTTATGATCCCTAGTGTACAAAAGCAGTAAAAAATTATACGTCTTCCGTTTCAATCTGTCTGTCTGCGGTCCGTGTGAATATTTGTTAGACAGATAATCTCCGAAACTACCGGACCGATTGTATATGGTACTCCTAGTTCAAAGTGGTTTTTATGACAAGATAATAAACATTATCACCTCATGATTACCCTAGTACGGACAATATGAGTTGAATAATAAAGTATGGTCCTGCAAGGAACCGACTAGTTTCTTATTTATGGCTAGGGATTTACTCCATTGTCCCCATCATCAACTTCGACACAATGGACCTATCATAAAAACCACTTTACACTGGGAAGACAATACATGGTATAACGCTAACTAAACTTTGTCTAGTCATTCCTACCAACAATGCGATGACGTCACCTCGAAATTGTACGAAATAACATAGTGTAGTTTATTAATTCGTGTTGATTTTTTACCTGAGAAAAAACAAAAAAATTAAAGTTGTATAACAACACTTTACAATTTAATTTTGAAACTGCAAAACCGAATGCTCTGAAATTTTGTAGACGTTTTAAGTTATCATAAGCATGGTAAATTTTGCACCAAAAAATATAACATATATAAATACATCCTGTCGAGGTTGTGCAAAATATGGTGATGATGAGTCTATACATTGGTTTCATATTTTTTAGAATTGTTTATTCCGTGTGTCTCAAAAAAATGAATGACTGAGCCTGTTTATTTTTTTGATTAAATCCGGATTGGCTTACTCCACTTTCCCGAAAACTTGGCAATACAACATTAGTTAATGATGTCAATAGATAATTTGCGTAGCACGTTTCTTTTACATTTACTTTAAGATTGCATACTTAAATATATTTTTTTTAACTTATAGGAGTTTTCATAAAAAAGATTAAATTCGCAAAATCAAATTGTATAATTTTTCGGAAAACCTGAAATTGTTCTGAAATAACCTATTTATTTACCGTTTTTATTTCAGGCATATTTCACACAACTAACGATCCTTTTAATCAAAAACAGTAGAGTCTGTTTTTATAACCTCTTTTATTAATAATAATATAATGAGTACAACAGATGTGATAATTAGCTCTTTCGAAGTTCGAGACGAAAATGCCATTTTTCGAATATTACCTTATTTTCATTTTTACTTTCAGAGCTTAAACTAACGAAGTAATTTTCTCGCCGTTTAATGACCCCTAGAGTACTAAAATACATGATTCCCGTTTCCATCTGTCTGTCGTCTGTCTGTGTCGATTTTTATTACACAGATAATTTCCTAAATGACTGGAGCAATTATTGTCAAATTTTATGTGTATTTGAATAATATCACGTAGATGGTAAAACACTAACAAAATTTGTCTAGCCGTCACCAACAATGTAATGACGTCACTTCAAAAATTTATGCGTAATTAATGTGGTAAAAATTTTATAAAACTAATATAAAAGTCCTTTTGATCTTTGCCCTGGGCATCCAGATTGTTGGAAAAAAACAAAATTATATATAACAACATTTTATAATTAAACTTTTAAACCGCAAAATCGAATATTGGCAAATCGTAAATAAAAAAAAATCCGTTTGTTCCTTCAAAAATTTATGACGTCATCCAAACACTACCGAATTATTGTATCTAAAATTTGCGAAATATGAGTCTATATTCTTATATATCAATGCATTTATATCTTTTTTAATTACATGTCCAGATGGCTCAAAAAATTAATGAATGGATTTTAGTGATCCCGAAAATTTTGGAATACAGTACTGTTATTATACATTTTGTAAAATTCACTTGAAACCTATGCATAATAGCATCCTTCTTTACTTTTACTTTAACGCTGCAGACATATCTTTATTTTAATTTACAGAGTTTATCTTAAAAATTCGCAAAACTATTTTGAGTGAAATTTTCGAAGCCACATGGTACCAAATTGGATGTATGAAGAACAATAATTTTTTTTGCTCACAGTGTTTTATCATTCATTCAGGTTGAAAAATTCATGTTCAGTAAAACCTTCATCACACTAGCTATGTTTGATTTTCCACAATAGAGTGTGTTTTCAGACATTTACTATTCATTACCGTTAAAAGCCACGTAAGTTTGTCAGGAAACCTTTTTATTGAGAGTTAATGCATCTATAAAATTGTGACGTACGTTTGAATCAATATTAATAAACAAGGAAGGTCTGGCGATAAAAGAATGATGAAAGGAGTTCTAACATCTTTTAAATATATAGATAGATCCGTTAACCTGACAACAAATTTTATTCAATGTTTTTAAGAATACTAAATATTTTAATTATAACAAACAACAAAATTATCATAACGTTACTGTTTTATAAATTCCATTCGTAATTTTAAAAATGGTTGTTAGTGTTAGATTTTGCGTGATAAACTTTGAGAGCCATCCATTCCATAGATTTCTCAATTGATTGTAAACCTGAGTTGCCCAGTTTTGATTTTTTTATATACCTACATCCATACGATTACTGAATCAGATGTATAGAAGCATATTATTTGCACATTCTAAGTAGGATCGCCAAATTAATATAAATTTGTTTATGCAGTGATATTTTTGGAAGCATTATTCAGTTTTATTAAGCAATCTTCATTTCGGAATATATTTTGAGTAACCCGACTTTGCTTGATAAATCTATCTTTAGCATAGCGATAAATAATTTCAAACACTATGTTCACCATCGTTGTAATAGCCAATGAGCAGCAAGGATAATTTATTATTCATAACTCTAAGAAACAGCTTCTGCAATCCTAGAATTCGACTCAAAACACACTCAGAATGTCTCTATTAGCACGTTGAGAGATACTTGAATATGGAACTGTAGCTTTGAATGACATCAGGGAATCATACTGGAACAACTTAACGCTAAATATTTGTTTTTTTTTTTGTTTGTCCGTGTACCATGTATAAACAGAATCAGATATTTTTCGAGTCCGGTGTTCCATTAAGGGATTAAATATGGATCATCCGTTAGAGATGCCAGTTGCAAGCACGTACCTACACATGTTTTTTTTAACCAAAAAATCTCCTTTTTTTTCTGAGTTCGTGCTTTTCGCATCAATCCCGTGCATGCTCACATGCACGTTCTATTTTTCTCTCATTTCTTTTTTTCCGGGAGCTTTCGAAATGCATCCGACATGTTTCGAATCAATCACCGCACTTTTCCGCTCCATCAATTTAAACGCCGTTATTGGATTCCAATTAATACGAGCCGAACAAACCTCAACTCCTGTTTCACTCGCTTTGGAGCAAGATTCCAATCTGGAAGCCCTGAAAACTTCCCTATTTACCGCTATAGATTCTAGTGAAGTTTCCACCGTAGAGTACGCAGGAAGACGAAGTTTTATTATTGTTTTGAGGCGTAGGCGTGCTCCCGGAGCGACAAAATTAATACTTTCAATGACTGAATCTTTAGTATGTAAATTTGAAGAGTGTTTGAGTTTTTGGTCACGTGGCAACCACACGTGCTGATCGATGGAGCAAAAACACAGTGCGGACAGGTGTAGCGAAAAATCTCCCGGAAAGTTTTATTTGAATTTATAAAGTGTTTAAAAGCGTTTCGGTGTAAATTCCTGGCCAAACGTTTATTGGTCTGTCGGGTTCAGATTTCAACTTTTGCATAAGTGGACAACGAAGTTTGTAAAGTAAAACAAACTTTGTACAACTTTAGGAAAAAGCAGCGTGAAAAATGAGCGGGGAAGCAGATGGCGGCGTTTTATTTCATGACTCTGTGTAGCAAACTTCGGATAAATAGTAGTTCTTGGTGGAATGATATTGTTGGAAAACTTCATAAGCAGATATGTTTGAGCAAACTCGGCTGAACCGCATAACGATATCAGTTTCTCGAAAAAATCACTCAACTTCTCAGGCATGCCGCAAATTGAGTAGTAAACCGCTCTACAATCTTGAAATATTTATTGGAGACATTTTGAAATCGCAGACGATTTCAGTGTTCTGATCGTCTAATTTAAAATCCTCAATGGCAAAAATTGATTTTTATTAAATAACAGCCCCTAGAGAGTTTGTAATCGGCTTATACATTATTAACGAAATTCTCGCTGACGTTCAGTCTAAACATTAATCCACCCCAGTTACAAACTCACTAATGTTCATTTTTCTTGTTCGACAGGTATTTTCTTCATTCTGCCTTGCATCGATGCCTACGCCAGGGTGGATTTGCGTACGAGAACTTACGACATCCCCCCTCAAGAGGTAAGAGGTTTAGTGGTATTTAGAAGAGAAGATTAAAATCAACTTAAATTAATGAAAAAGTTCTGTAACATACGCGTAATCCTGAAAATTAAGGACGTGATTGTCAGTTTCGATTTAGACGGAGGTTTAGCTTGTTTTTTATCAAAGCAAATATGCACAGCACACTTTTTCGAATAAGTTGTTTAAAACAATGTAATTTATTTCGTTAATGGATAAACCATGTAGCGATACTGAATAAAATATAATTTATACTTTTGTTTTGCACATAGCAACAGTTGAGCCGTAAACTCGCTGTTAATATTTTTATTTAATATTTTTTCCGGGAGCTATGCCCGGATTAAAATATACGTTTCAGTACTGTGCGCTCAAGCGGAAACTTAGTGCGCTACGTTCGGTAGCGTAATGCCTCAGAGTATACTTGCTTTCCAACGTGATCGTTAATTGAATTTAGCCGGTTGAACTCTTCGGTTTGCTCTGTTTTGTAATCATTGGCACATTTTGGATCGCTACTTTTTAAAATTTCAACGGAATATTTGTTTTTGTTTGCATTTTTACAGAATTGGCTTTCGTATTTAATTTGCGCTCTTGGAAATGTTGTTTTGTTTTCATGCTCCGTTGCTGTCCAGAATCAAAATTTTGGATCATTAATCTTTACAAAATTGTATTTTTTTTACAATTAATCGACTACGGGCACTTTTTTACATTTATTACGGAAGGTCTGCAAATTTTATCACAAATAAAACCAAAAAATTCTAGACAATCTAGCAGGAATATTAGACAATTTTAAACAATTTAGGAAATATGATAGAACTTGATATACAAAGTCTAACTCACACTAAATATCTAACAATTACATTTGGATTTACCCTGAGCACACAAAAGATATTATTTGGAATTTAAATAAACCACAAAAATTTTGGAACTGACCTCCATCTTTGTGTAAACACACCTTAAACCTTCTACGTTTATTCTCAAATATATTTTGAATCATTTTTTGATTAATTAATATTCTTTTAGCAGTTAATATATATTTTTTTATTTAAATGTAAATTACAGAGTAAGGGATTTATCCTATAACCACTCTATACAAATTGAATTAGAAATGGAAGGTAACGGAATTGATTTCCTTTTACTCCCCGAGCGTAAGCGAAGAGTATTGTCATTGTCAAGAGTGGATGGGAACATTTGGAAATCGGGAATTTTTCAGAGGCGCCGTAATTAAATGAAGTAAAATTTCGACCTTTCAGGCGTCGGTAAATTTTTAGACTCCCAAATACTTTCAAATTACTTAAAAAAAACACAGATAAGTTCTCGAGTTTCTTTCTAATTACTTCAAAAATAAGACAAGGGATCTCCGAAATTCTTTCAAACTATGTTAAAAACAACAGACAAGGGATCTCCAATATTCTTTCAAACTACATAATACATACATTAAAAGAAAAATACAAGGAGTTCCCGAGTCTTTCAAATTACTTCAAAAACAAGGTAACCGGTCCCCTAAACTGTTTCAAACTACTTCAAAAACAAAACAAATGGAGTTCCCGAGATTCCTTCAAAGTACTCCAAACACAAGACGAAAGATCTCCGAAATTCTTTCAAACTAGTTTAAAAATAAGACAAGGGATCTCAAGATTCTTTCAAACTACTTCAAAAATCAGGCACAAGGGGTCTTCGAAATTCTTTCAAAGTATTTCAAAAACAAGAAAATATAGCCCCAAGATTCTTTCAAACTACTTCAAAAACAAGACACAGGGGGTCCCGAGATTTTTTCGAAGTACTTCAAAAACAAAACAAAAAGGGTTCCCGAGGTTCTTTTAAACTACTTCAAAAACAAACCAAGAGATCTTCTAAATTCTTTCAAACTATTTCAAAAACAAAGCAAGGGATCCCCAAGATTCTTTTAAACTACTTCGAACACAGCACAAGAGGTCCTCGAGAGTCTTTCGAATTATTTCGAAAACAAGTCAAGCCAACCCCAAGATTCTTTCAAACTACTTCAAAAACCAAGAACCAGGGATGAACGAGATTTTTTCAAACTACTTAAAAAAAAACAACTGGGGTTCCCGAGATTCTTGCAAAGTACTTTAAAAACAAGACGAATTCTCAGAAATTCTTTGAAAGTACTTCAAAAGCAAGAAAAGAGATCCCCAAGATGCTTTCAATCTACTTCAAAAACCAAGCAAAAAGGTTCCCCGATATTTAATCAAACCACTTCAAAAATAAAACAAAAGGGTTTCCCAAGATATCTTCGAAATTCTTTCAAACTATTTAAAAAACAAAAGACAAATGATCTCCGAAGTTTTTTCAAACGACTTCAAAAAGAAGACAAGGGGTCCCCCAAGATGCTTTTAAATTACTTCAAAAACAAAATAAAAGGGGTTCCCTAGATTCTTCCAAACTACTTCAAAAACAACACAACTGCTCCCCGAGAGTCTTTCAAATTATTTCAAAAACAAGACAAGCAATCCCCAAGATTGTTTCAAACTACTTCAAAAACCAAGAACCAGGGATGACCGAGATTTTTTCAAACTACTTCAAAAACAAAACGACTGGGGTTCTCGAGATTCTTGCAAAGTACTTCAAAAACAAGACGAATTCTCCGAAATTCTTTCAAACTACTTCAAAAGCAAGAAAAGAGATCCCCAAAATTCTTTCAATCTGCTTCAAAAACTAGGCAAAAAGGTTCCCCGAGATTCTTTCAAACCACTTCAAAAATAAAACAAAAGTGTTTCATAAGGTTATTTCAAACTACTTCTAAAACAAAACAACTGAGGTTCCCTAGATACCTGCAAGGTTCTCTGAAACTCTTTCAAACTATTTCGAAAGCAAGAAAAGCGATCCCCCAGATTCTTTCAAACTTTTCAAAAACAGTGCAAAAGGGGTCCCCAAATTCTTTCAAGTTACTTGAAAAACAAGTAACTTGAAAGAATTCCCAAGATTTTTTCAATCTGTTTAAAAAAACAGGTAAAAAGTTTCCCGAGTTTCTTTTAAACTACTTCAAAAACTAAACAAAAGGTGTTCCTGAGATTCTTTAATAATACTTCAAGAGATCTTTGAAATTCTTTCAGACTACTCCAAAAAGACGACAAGGGGTCCCCAAGATTGTTTTAAACTACTTCATAAACAAAACACAAGGGGTCCTTAAGATTCTGTCAATTTACTTCAAAAACAAGACACCTTCGGAATTCTTTCAAGCTACTTCAAAAACAAAAGACCAAGGATTTCCGAATTTTTTTCCAACTATTTAAAAAACAAAATAAGGTGTCCCCAAGATTCTTTCAATCTGCTTCAAAAATCAGGCGCAAGTGATCCCCGAGATTCTTTCAAATTACTTCTAAAACAAGCCAAAAGATCTCCGAAATTCTTTTAAAATACATCAATACTAAAACACAAGGAGTCCCCAAGATTCTTTTAATCTTTTTTGTAAACACAAAGGATGCCAGGGATTCTTTCAAATTACTTCAAAAATAATACACAGAAAAATCCATGAGATCCCTTCAAATTACTTCAAAGACAAGACATGAACCGATGGGATTATGTATCTGGAAATCGGAAATTTTCCAGAGGTGCTAGTAGCCCTGGAACACCTGAGCGCAGTATCCAAATTTTATATGCTTTGAAATGAAGTAAAGTTTCCGCCTTTCAAGCATCGGTCTAAATTTTTACCGTGCTGGTTCAGCAGGTTCCATCTGCCTCTAGTAATCGAGTCCATTGGGCAATTAGCTACTGTCATGTTCCTCGACGTTTCATTATCTGCGAACTGTCGTCTGTTTGCTATGTCAATTTTTGTTAGATAGATACTTCTGAAACTACTAGACCGATAATTGTTAAATTTTATTGGTACAATAGGAATATTGTGTGGATGGTAAGACGCTAATCAAAATCACCAACAATTTGATGACGTCCGCTCATTTTTTGGTCGAATCAAGAAGACATTTTTCGAAGGTATAAGAATACAGTAATATCGCGCTCGCCCATATTTAATACCAATAAAATAATAATTATCATAATATCTCGTCCAAAATTATATTCCGCCCGTTTTTCCTCCATTGTAGCTTAATTAATTAAATTAGCCCTCTCCTCCCTTTTGAGGAGACAAAATCGATCAATTTTTTTTTTGTCTTGACGCAGATGCATGTTATCGGAACGTGCTAATAATTGAATTATTTCGAAATATAACTTCAACCAAAATGTGTAGATTGACATATTCCGATAAATGGAACCATGCTTTGTCAGAATAAAACGATGTTCGTTCATATAGAAATTTGTTCTAATCTCGTCCTGGTTTGGAAGGTCTTTCTGGTGATTTATCTTTATTCACACTTCCAGTTGTTATAAATTTATCAACCACGAGCTTTACTCTACAAAGCTTTTCATTTCGCACATTTGAAGTTTAATTTGCTTAGTAAAGTTTTGATATGTAACTAAATTTGGAAAACATTTTTGGACATAAGACATAAAAAAACGTATCGACACCGCATAATCAATTATAATTTACTAAAGCAAATTTTGCGCATACAGTAAAGTTTATAAGGCAACAAAATGTTGAAGTTATAAGTGACTTTTAAAAACGATAATTCAAGCAGCTAAACTGGATGCGGAGTACCAATAAGTAAAAAAAAAAATACAACAAAAAAATTAAACTCAGCTGTGCACGGAACCGAGATTATAAAACTTGAGAATAGCAGGCTTTGAACGTGTTTAGCGAGGAATTAATGTGTGAAAAATATTTTGATTTAATTCCTGCTTATTCCTTTGCAGCTGCGACTAACTGGGACGTAATGAGATCGTTTTCAAAGTTTAAAGCTATTTTAACATCAAAACAGAACCAGTTTATAGAAGGAAACGTAGCGAGATTTACCGCCATACAATTTTATAATACATACTCGTACAAAAGAAACGATTACGAATTTTCTGGGAATAAGGCTTGCCCCGAAAATTTCTCCACGATTTTTAAATTTTTTAATAATGAAATTTTGATTTATTATTACCGAACCTTG